CCTTATTTCATTTTCAAGGAGGTCTTATTATTTTCGAGGTGCAGGAGGCGGTGAGTGTGATCACCTCATGGCTGCTGCTGTGTTGCAATATTTTCGAGGAGGCCTTATTTTGGGGGAAGGGCTTATTTTAGAACATGCGCTCAAAAGCTTGATTGGGCTTATTATCTGGGGAGGTCTTATTTTCGGAGAAACAGAGTAGCAATAGCACTTAGATTTATATATCGCTTCACAGTGCTTTTACATCCCTCTCTAAGCAATTTACAGAGTCAGCATATTGCCTGCAACAATCTGGGCTCTCATTTTACTCACCTCAGAAGGATGGAAGGCTGAATCAACCTTGAGCCTGGTGAGATTCGATCTGCCAAATTGCAGGCAGCCAGCAGTCAGAAGAAGTAGCCTGTAGTTCTGCATTCTAACCACTGTGCCACCACAATTCTTGAAATTTTTAGAAATACTGTCCTCCTATTTTCATGGTAACACCAAGGTAACTTGGACTAAAGATTTGCATACCACATTAAGTGATTGAGACACTCAATTGAATTATAATTGGATTATACTTTTGTTTCCCTAGGGATGCTGTTTCATTTCTAATTCAACAATAAAACTTACTAGACTGATCCAATTCTAAGGTGACTAGTTCATTCTCTGACATTAGCTATTCTTTCTTCTCAATTGACTTCATCTGAAATTGAATCACGTAACCCCTCTGATAAGCTGCATAGTCCCTTTAATATAAATGACTCCTTTTGTATTTGCTCCTTGCTGTAAAATAACCTTATCATTCAAGCTGATAAAATTAGGAGACAGTTAAAAAAAAAAACCTAAAAGAATAAATAGGATAAAATACCTCTTTAGGTATAAATAGGATAAAATACCTCTTTAGGTATTTTATGGCCTTATTTAAAACAATTATCAGAGTTTTGAATAAGAGAAACAGAACCAATAAAAATATAGTTGGTTATCAGATAAATGACAATTGGAAAAATGCTGCTTTAAATGAGAATTAAAAGAAGTAGAAATTCTGGAATAGGAAGTAATGTGGCAGTACAGTGAACAAAATGGAAGCTGAAAACACAAGGTTTTTTCAAAGTTTGAAAACTGGGGACTCCTTTTCACTATATACCATTTAAAATGTCAGTAAGACATCCAATAAAGAAAACATAGGTAAAAGAAGGCAAATATATGTGTCCCAGGATAATGTTGCAGGATCCAATCTGAGCTAGTCATCGGGATCAGATATTTTACTCTTCCAAGCTTTCAGACTCATGCTGAAGCCCATCATCAGGGAATTTCTCATATGCATTCTGGAGAATTCAGAATGTGTATTCTGGAGAATGTGTTTTCTGAAAAATTCAGAACTTACCTTGTTGTACTAATGTGGATCTTAGCATTCCACTCTTGGACCAAATTTTTATTTGCCCATCTTCACCAACTAGAAATAAATATCAAAGTCTTTGCTTAACTAAGTTTTTAGCATTAAAATCCTTTAAAAGTTTGAATATTATAAGTTGCATTATGACTTTACTCCTAAAAAAAAATAGTACTAACAGTCTTGAAGTGTTTCTCATTGCTTTCTGAGGAATCTTACGGTAAAAAGAACTATCAATTTCTGACACACTGTGTCATCAGAAATCAAGGTTGGCTTGAGGACATCTTACCATAGTCCTGTTTGGATAATTTTCTTAACCATCTTATGAGTAATTTAAGAAGAAAATATAAAGAAATGATAACCTCTAGTTTTTAAAAGGAAACATTAAGGGGAAAATAAAATTTCCTAAATATATATTGCATTTTCCTGTTTTTTAAAGTTTTTATTTCTTCTGCATGTAATGTATACACATTCAAATCGGTAATACTAACAGCAGAATCTATTATTATTACATTCAAAAGAGCAATAGTGATCATATATTTAATAAAGACTGGCCAAGTCTTTTACTATTTTATACAAATGGAAAATATATATGCGTAGTTCTTATCGTATTGCCTGCAGTAAATATCTGAAGTTCACTAAAGCTCTATATTCAATTAACAATTGGATTTTGAATTTGACTTATTTCTGTGAGTTGATAATGAAGACTATTTTATTACTATAGTCAATACAATTATTATATTCACTATTTTCTACTTTTCAATCTATACACTGCACATAAATAGTATGCATTTATATCACCTTGCACCATATACAATATACGTCAACTTCTATTTACTCAGGGATTCACTGAAATATCTAATCTGATAGGGTATTTTACATAAAACAGTATATTGCAACTATTTTCACTGTTGTATAAATCAATACAAGTGATGAACAACTAGTTCTTATTCCATGATGTTGCCCTTCAGTCANATGTTGTCTAGGTAACAAAGACAACATATTGGATGCGAGCACAGTTGGGCCGCTACAACCACCAATATCTTTGTGAAAGTCCTTGGTGCCGATAGCCCGAATGGCAGAGCTCTGTACTGGTAGTGCTTGCTGTTGTAGTGGAACTTGAGGAATTTTCTGTGGGACCTGCAGATTGGAATATGCAAGTACGCCTCCTTCAGGTCAATGGAGGTCAACCTGTCCCTTTGTCTGATGCAACCTAGGATAGTCTGTAAGGATTGTATCTTGAAACGCTTGTAGGCCAAATGTCAATTTAGATTTTTTAGGTCCAATATGGTCCTCCACCCCCTGGAGCTTTTCAGGACAAGGAAAAGAATGGAGTAAAACCTCTTTTACTCCTTCTCTATGGGGACTGATTCTATGGCATTTAGCTGAAGGAGATGCAGAATCTCCGCCTGCATGCGTTGTCTTTTGGGAAGGGATACGGGGACTGGACAGTGGATGAAGGCCCACGGGGGAAGGGAGAGGAACTCTAGGGTCATGTATTGAGAACCCAAGAGTCCGTGGTAATCAACTCCCGTTGGGCGGAGTAAAGTTGGAGACGGCCACCTATGGGAGGATCCTGTTGGTGGTCACTTGGACCTATGGTAAGGGCAGTTGTTGGAGCCACTGCGAAAGAGGCGCCACTGTTGCCCCTTATCTCTGAAGGTTGCCCTATCCTGACCCTGGGGATAGGATCTCTGGTAGGAGGGACCCGCACCCAAAGAATCACTCCCCCGAAAAGACTGCTTTTGAAAAAATGAGCTATTTTTCCTATCTGCCTGTCTGGAAGTAGATGGAAGAACCTTCCATTTATCCTCCATCTCAATCAAGAACTTGTATAGTGTTTCCCCAAACAATTGCCCGCCTTGAAGGGGGCGGATACAAGCTTCCACTTCGACTTCACGTCCACCTGCCAGTGATGGAGCCATAGCAGGAAGCGTGAAGTCACCTTGGAGGCCAGTGCCCGGGAGGCAAACTTGGCAGCATTGAGAGAAGCATCAGCTGAGTATTCAACAGCTGCTATGATTTTGTTAAGGTCATGCTTTCATCTGGAACCCTCCGAGGGAGGATTTGATCTCAACTGTCACAACCAAAGCAGCGAGGCCCGAAAAAAGAACGATGCTGAGATGGAAGCCTTGATGGACCAGGCAGCTGCTTGGTGGGTCTTGTGGCAGGCTTTCTCTGTCTCCCTGTCCTCGGCCTTGAGCCCCTCAAGGTGGTCAGCCAGCAGGACAGAGTTGGAAGTGAGCGATATCACCAGAGCATCCACCTGTGGAAGCTTCAATATAGCCTCTAAATTGTTCTCAACTGAAAAGAGGTGTTTGTCAGCCCTGCTAGGGTTGGTCAGTGAATCTAGCTGTGCCCACTGGCGCTGGATCACGTTCACGAACAGCTCTGGCACTGGAACCAGGTCCTGCTCAGGAGCATTCTCTTTGAATAATCCCTCTTTGGGATCCTGGGGTCCAGAAGGGACTGCCGTACCCTGGCTGGGAGTACCCTCTTGGGTAGAGGCCTTTGCCTTGTGTAGGATTGCCTTAAAGAGGGAAGGCCTAAACAAGCCAGTGAATGCAGGCTTGTCAGGGAGGGGGGTTTCATCTTCTGAAAGTTGCTGCTCCCCTATGTTGTCCTCCTCTAAAATGGATTCCTCTGTGGTGATGGAGGTGCCTGGAGAAGGAGGTCCCTGCGCCTATCCACTCTGGCTAGATTTGTGACTAGGCCTGGCAGAGGAACTTTTAGCAGCATGGCTCTTCCTATGAAGGCCAGTCACAATGCCCCTCTCAATTGCCTGTTCTATAACCCTCTGCATTTCATTTGACAGATTTGGTCTCTGATCTTCAACAGGCCGGGATCTACCTGACCTCCTCTGCCTATCAGCCCCAAGGGTTCAGGGTCCTCCTCTACCATAGCTGATTCAAAGGGACAAAACTCCTCTTGCATGGAAGAAGATTCTGGATAGCCAGAGAGGCTGCAGGAGAAGGAGGCTGGGATCACTCATCCATCAATGAGAGGGATATGTCCCTTCCTGGGGAAGGCAGCTCCTGTCCCTGGGGCAAGGATTTGGATCTAGAGATGGCTGCCCAGATGATAGGGGTAACTTTCGGGCCCCCTCAAAGGTCTTTTCGAGGGCCTTATGTCTGTGGGCCTCAGCCTTGGACGGGACCTTGTCGCCTCTGGGCTAGGGATCCCCTTCTCTTTAGTGCCCTTTCTGCCCACCTCCATCTTAGGGGGGGTCTGGCCTACTGTGTTTGGACGAGGGGACTGGATGTTCCTCTGGCACCAAAGTTCCACGCCAGCAATTTAAATGTAAAAAAAAAATGATGAAATTTTAGAGCTCACTATCAACTAAAGACAAAAATAAGAAAGGTACTATGCTAACTAAAGGAGAGTCCCAGTCTATTTGAACAAGGATTGAGGAGCTCCCCAAAAACATGTTCCAACTGAACTGGACTGAGTTTTTGAGCTGGTCCTCAATGAGGAGGGGAGGCATGGTTAAGAAATTCAACTCAGTCCTTGGCCAAATGGACTGAATTTAATCCATGCTTGGACTCTCCAAGCAGCGCACATGAGAATAAATGGTGATGGCTGTCCAGGAGGTGAGAACTTTTCCTATCCCATCAGCCCTGCTCCAATGTAGCCGAGCCCTTGCTGAAGCCCCAGGCCAACTGACATAGTCAAGTTTTTAGGCTCTTCTCGAAGGCCAGGAAAGTGGGAGCAGACCTCACCTCTGACAGAATATTCCAGAGGCGGAGGCCATAGCAGAAAAGGCTTTTCTCCTGGATCCCACTAATGGGATCTGAAGTAGCCCTTTCTACTGGAATGAGTGGTGTAGATTAATCCAATCAGGTGAGGTGGTTCCTCATGTATCCTATGTCCATGTAATATGTCTGCTTTTGATGCAGCACTGGTTATCAGTTTGCTATTGGGTATGACTTAAGGTTTTGGTCATTACCTATAAAGCCAACATGACATTTTACCCCAATAGCATCTATCCCACTTATTAAATCTTATAGGGCAGCGATGGTGAACCTTTTTTGGCTTGCATGTCATAATGGGGGGAGCGCAGACAGGTTGTGCGTGGGCGTGCCGCACATATAATACAACATGTGACCCCCGCAGTGCGCATGAGGCGCTCCCCCCATTTTTTGCATTCTTTTTTCGCCCTCCCCAGGCTCGAGGCTTTATAGGAGCCTAGGGAGGGCAAAAACAGCCTCCCCCGCCTACCTGGAGGCCTAAAAACAACCCTACAATTGGTTTGCTCACAGGGTCATTTTTAGTCCTCCGGAGGCTTCAGGGAAGCCTTCTGAAGGTCCCTGAAGCCTCTGGAGGGCTTAAATCGACTCTACGAGCAAACTGAAAGTCTGTTTCCAAACTTCCAGTTTGCCCATAGGGCTGTTTTTTTGCACTCCAGGGACCTTCCCTGAAGCCTCCAGACGGTCTCTGGGGGTGTGGGGAGGCTCTTTTCGCCCTCCCCAGCCTTCTATAAAGCCCCTGGAGCCTGGGGAGGGCAAAACATTGCTTTAAAAAAGACTGAACTCAGCTCACAGGGCCTCGTGTGCCCTGACAAATGACTCCGCATGCCACCTATGGCACGTGTGCCATACGTTCACCATCCCATTGATAGGGTTTGCACATTCTGAGTTCTTCGATTAAACAATGCATCTATTGGGACTTCAGAAGTTTTTCTGCTTTTCTGTAGCAATACCTATCCTCTAAAATAGATCCCCTGGTCATTCCTTGTTGTTATTTAAAAGGACTTGAAGATTTGGTTCTTTGCCTAAACCCTTGGTGAGGGAGAGCGAAATCCTTTGTTTCATTATCTAGTTTGCTGTTCTTGCCATCTTTTATTTTCCTTTGTTATTAATAATATTTCTCATTTTACTTGTGAGCTGCCATAGTAGTTGGGAGCTAATCAACACACAAATTTGATTAATAAATTGAAATTAATGTTTGTTTTTTCTTCCTAGTGTTTCCTCCAAGTTCTTATTCTGAAGAAACAACCAAACAATTCTAAAAACATCTACAACAATCAAGATTTCCCTTACAATGGAATAAATTATTCCAG